ACTGAGAAGAAATGTTAGCATTATTATTGTTTTTTTTTTCCTGTGGTGCCAGGGATTGAACTTAGGACCTTGTGTTTGTCAGGCAAGTGCTTATTCCACTGAGGTATCTCCCTAGCCCCAATTTCCCTGGCCTCCATGCACTAATATTGTTTAGCCAAGATATCAGGTCTGCATCTTGCCCTCTTAATAATTAATTGAGGACAACAATATGTAATGTATTAATTATTGTAACTGTCCTACTAACCTGTTTTGGAACTGTTCCATTGTTATATTTCTTTTCTAATTAAAATGAATTTTTGAAAAAGAAAAAAGAAAGCCCGGCTGCTTCTTCCTTTGGTGCCAATGGAAGATTCAAAGCTCACCAATCTCACCATGGTCCCTCCCTTACCCACATCTGTACCCCAGCCAGTCTTTCCTTCCCCTCTTAAGCCATGAGAGTCCTTCTGGAGATGCCTGCATCCCCACACCAAAGACTGTAAGAATTGCATGGTATAAAACTTTTCATTTTTTCTGATGGAAATGTAGCATCATCAGTTTTGATTCAAAAAGCAAACTTTGGAAGAAAAATATATGATGGACATAAGCAAATAAGTTAAATGTATATTGAAAAAGATACACCAAGGAGATATACCACTAAAAGAAAACATTGGAAACCCAAAATAGTATAAATGAATGAATGTTGAAAAATTCTTTGGAGAGCAAAATACCAATGGTTTGCCATGTCACTCTCTAGTACAACTGAAGTAAATTTTTTTTTCGATTCATGAATGGCACTGAAACAACTATTCTTATTTTTCAAACTTTTTGATGCATACCCTGGATTCACAATCACTGAGTCTGAACAGTGTGGTTTGTGTTTTCCAGATTGCTGGAACCAATAAAAAAATCTTCTTTTAAAATATCCTGTATGTTTATGAACATATTTTGCTGACCAATTTTGTAAATTTCTACTTTCATGTTGCATTATTATTTATGGCATCCAGATTTTCAGAAGATAAAATGAGTCTTTGAATTTTTTATGTTTTGAAAATCTCTCTCTCTCTCTCTTTCTTCTTTCTGTCTTTCTTTTTTTCTTTCTTTCTTTCTTTCTTTCTTTCTTTCTTTCTTTCTTTCTTTCTTCCTTCCTTCCTTCCTTCCTTCCTTTGTATGTTATCTATATCCAACAGAAGGCAGCTGTGTAATTGGTAACATCAGCTTCCCTCCAACAGCAGGCTCATGGGTTGCTAGAAATAATATACTTAGAGAATTCGGGCAGAATATGATCCATATTATGCCAAATGTTTCAATTTTAAACCAGTACCATATATA